TAATTCATATCGAAATACAATATAAGTACACGTTAATATTTACGTGTTGGAGATTAAAAAATCAAAGAGCCCAAATCCTTAACTATTCCCAGAGAAGAAGGGTTAGAGTGGACGGTTCCATGTGAGGAGTGGACCCTCGTGATTTGCAAAAGAGAGGTCATTTTTAATATGTGGGGGCATCTTCATTTAATGTATAAATCCACTATTTTATTTTATATATTGGTTTTGAAATAGTAACACGTTGCAGCCAAGGTCGTGACTCGCCTTGGACCCAACATGATGCAATGTGACTCATCCTTGATGCCATGACCTACGTGCTGGAAATCAACTTAACTACCACCAAACCATGCACCATCTTGGAAGATTACGCACCAATTTTCGGGGTCCTTAAATGATTCATGTTGTTGATAGTGTTTTTTTTATTATTAATAATATGAGTAAGTACAAGATAATATATGTTCATAGATAATTCTTTATCATTTGATGTTGAACGCTCATATCCTTGGCATTACTAGTGCTCAAATTCGAAACCTCAAGAAATAACAACAGTTCATTTACTACTAAGATCGTTTGGTTCGTGCTGATAGTTTAAATACGCTAAATTAAATCTAAGTAGGCATTTAACACCTAAACTAACGGTTAGATTGACATAAGGACTTGATTGATATGATATCAATACCTGAAGGATTTAATTAGAATATTATAAAATTTTAGTGCTGATGTAGAAACTAAACCATAAATTATGGATTCTGGTGCAATTAACCCAAACAAAAAGTATGGGTTATCTCTACGATGGCAACGAGTCGGGTTAGGGTCAATTTTTTATCGACCCGACCCGAAAAACATATATCCTCTACTATACTTTAACTTGACCCAAATTTTTAGAGTATAAATCTGACTCGACCCGTTATAAAATAAGGACTTAATTAAAAATAATAAATTTATTAAGGAAATTACATTATTATCTCGGGTTGGGTTGGGTCGGAGTTTTTTTATCCTCCACTCAAACTCGACTCGACTTCACTCCTCAAAAACTCTAATCTAACCCAGCTCGAACTCAATTTTTTAAAAAAAAATAGAATCCGATCTTATTAGTTCAAGTCGGATCCAAACCTGTCGAATTCAAGTTAAATTGTGATCCCTAGTTATCTCCTTGGTCTTTCGCCCAGTAAACTATGTTCATTGAAAGCACTTTAGACTATTCAGAGCAATGGTTTGCTTGTTAATGCCTTGACTATCCAGCGCCATATTTTCTTTTTTTGCTCCTCATCTATAGTATTTGGCATTCGCTTATTTAAATAAATTAACCCAAATATAATTTCAAAATTCATTTTTAAATAAATAAAAAAAAACACAACTAAAAACCGATTTTGGTATATTATTTATTCTTAAATTGAGTATAGACAATAATAGAGTTGGTAAGCACGAATCAAACGATCTCAGTGATAAAAAATTTGTTGTTATTCCTTAAAATCATGTGTTTGAGCACTAAAAATTCCCAGGATGTGAGGGTTTAATATTAATATCTTTGAAACGGTACTAATGTTAATTTTAAAGCAATATTAATTTTATTTTAAATATTTTTTTAGATATAACATTTTAAAAATATATATCAAATGACACCCCTTTAACAAAGGGTAGCTGCGCCCTTAGTCATCGGACCCATTGAAGATATGAGTTTGAGGCTCCCCTACACCGGTGACCCCAGTTAAACAAAGGCCTCAAGTTTTTTTTTTCTAAATACAAGTTAATATTATAAACACTGTTTACTTATTAAAGAATCAATTATCAATGGCAAAAAAAATAGAACATAAATATTATAATGCAATAAAAAAAATAATTATGGCTACATCACACTGTATATATTATCCTATTCTACCAAACATTCAAGGGGGAACTTGTTATAGAGACAAAAGGTGAAAATGGTGATAAAAAAAATCATTATGGGGTGATGATTGATGAAGAAGGAGATAAGGAATAAATGAACAGTTAAGGTGTGAAAATGGTAAAGATCTAAGTTGAAAAAAAAGATAAAGTACACAAATGGTCCCCGACTATATGATATTACTTTATTGAGTCCCTTGACTATTAAACGTTACAAAATGATCCTTTGATTATAGAGAGTTATTTTGTTGAGTCCTCCAACTATAAAAATTACAAAATGGTCACTAGACTATTCATTACGTTTCAAACTTGTCATTTCGCATGAAAAAATTAACAATCGTCTGAGTTGGATGTTAACATGTTGAATGAGATATAATAGTTTGTAATGCCCCAATTTTTGGGTCAGTAGTTTCGGTCAACCCGTAACCAGATATTATAGCCCATTAGATTAAATATAGCCATTCTAGACCAATTATAAAGGGTATTGGGCCTAAGGTAGGCCCAAGAGTTAAGTTTAGTGATAGTTTTAAATTAAATAAGAAAGGAGAGGGACCTAGATAACAATTTACCCATAGCCTAAATATAGCCATTCTAGACCAATTATAAAGGGTATTGGGCCTAAGGTAGGCCCAAGAGTTAAGTTTAGTGATAGTTTTAAATTAAATAAGAAATGAGAGGGGCCTAGATAACAATTTACCCCTAGCCTATTTTAAGGTTATAAACCTTCCCATTCTCCAGAAAATTCCATGCAAAAATCTCCACTTTCATTTTCTCCCATTTTCTTCTCTTGTTTCATTCTTATTAGCAAACCAAGGTGAGATTTCAAGCTAGATTGAAGAAACCAAGGTAACTTTCTTATTCTCCATTCCCTTAGCATCAATTAGAGCCATTAATTTCTAGTTTTGGTTAAGTTTTTAGAAGTGGGTTTTTAGAGTTTTAAGTTATTTTAGGAGAGTGTTTGAGTTGTAGGGAGTGCATCTAAGCTTTATCCAACACCTAGTTAAGTAAGTAATTCATTTTTATACCTTGATTAGTTAAAGAGGTTGAAGAGAGAGTTCAAGCCAAGGGAAGGAAGAGTGAATACCTAGTTGATTCAAGAAGTGTTCTAACATCCAAAGAATCCAGGTAACACACTATTAGCATTTTCATCCCAGCTGTAGGATCATTAGAAAGATGTTTAGCTTTAAAATTTGAGTATGAGCATGTTTATTAGCATTCCATGGTAGATTTTATGCTTAATGTTTTTAGCATGTTTCTAAGCCTTATTTATGATCCTCTTTAATCACATAAGACTTTAAGAACGTTTGGAGACCTCACTAAGGTCTTTGGGTTAGATGAATAGGAGATTTTCGAGTAAAAATGTGTTTTCTGCAGGTGGAGTATCGATGCTATAGGGATAATATCAATACTTGTTCATCATTCCAAGCGAAATGCTTGTTTTCTATATAGGAGTATCGAAACTCTTACAAGAGTATCGATACTTTAGGAATAGTTTCGAAACTCCCAAGCAAGTATCGAAACTTGCCAGAATATAGGGCTCAAAAGTATCAGTACTTAAATAAAGTATCGAAACTTTAGAAGGAGTATCGATACTTCAGGATAGTATCGATACTTTCAATCTGTTTTGGGCAAAAAGGTCAGTTTTTTAGGGATTTAGACACGAGGTATCCCAACACTTCATTTTATCATCAAATAAGACTACAAGTAGAATAATATTAATGATAATTTAAACTTAGAAATTAAATAATTAGGGACAAATAATACTAGCCTTGTTTGATGCTTGGGAAACAATTTAGACGCTTAAGTTCCTTTAGAAAATCTAGTGGAGTCAAAAGTATATATGTAGTCCGGATATACCCTTAGGTAGGGTGCAAGGCCCTTAAAACCGACTAACTAAGGCCGAGGCCTGACACTTGCAAGGGGTGGGTTAGTTAGGGTTATGGTGTCCGATGCAAAATTTGGGGGCCATGTCTTAGTAGACTAGAGGGGTGTCTGAGCTCCGAGATGAAGTAATCTCTCATGTCTACAGTAGCGTAGAGAGTGAGTATTGCAAAGATATTCACTAAGCATATCAAATTAGTAGACTTTATAGCTAGTCTTTCAGTGATATGTAGTTAATATGTTTTAGCTATTAATGTGTCACTTAGCTAGTTAGCTCAGCCTTCGGATTGTTTCTGTGGGCATGTCAGTAGATTCAGTAGGTGAGGAACAATAGATAGACCAAAACCCAGTTCAGACCAGTGCAAATTCAGAGTACGTCTTAGCGTTTTTGAAAGTGCATGTATAATTGTAAACTTTATTGCCCAGTTGAGTCGTAGTTTCAGTAGAGCAGTATGTATCATTTTTGTAAAGTGTAAATATTTTAATTTGGAGCTTCTTAGTGTAAATATTTTTTTCTTTCTTCAGTTTATTTTACAGTTGTTTTATAATTAAAGAAAGTAAGAAAAAGTTGGTCGGGCACTTCGGTGGTTCCGTGTAGCACCTTAAATCGGTCGTTTGTGTGTCGTATTGGTCTAGGGTGTTACATAGTCGTTTGAGATTATGAGATCAAATTTTATCATATCTCATTCAGTCGGTTAACGTACAACTTAGGTTGTCAAATTTTAACGAAAAATGACGAGTTTGGAGCATAAAGAATAGTTGGTTGACCATTTTATAACTTTTAATAGTCAAGGGACTCAACAGAGTAACTCTCTATAGTTAGAGGATCATTTTGCAACTTTTAATAATTGAGGGACATAATAAAATAATATCTTATAGTCGATGGACCATTTGTGTACTTTATCCAAAAAATCAATGTCGGCTAGTTTATATCTTAAATAAGTTTTAAGTTAAAGTTTTATGGGTATATCTTATTTAACTTTAGATATAATCAAATTCATATGATGGTGTTAAAATTAAAATATTTTTTAAATAAAAATGAGAAAATGAGAAGGGTAACCCTTGAATTGAACCATAGGATTGTAGGGTATGTGACCCATTTCAATTGTGGGTCATCTATATATGTATATCTCACAATGCTTATAAGTGTTGTACGAGTCATTGGGAAATGATGGGTTTTCATTAAGAAAAAGAATAGCTAATACCTCTTCTCTTAGTCTTCCCTTAGTCTTTAATTAAGAAGAGAGCCCGGAATGACTGAGCTGCAACATTCAGAGGCAGAGAGAAGCTCGAGTTCGACCTCGTTGCCGACGTTATCACCGTCGTCACCGAGGTTGAGTCACTCGACGGAGATCCTAAACCGTAAACCCGAAACGATGGCTTCGGATGGTAATAAAAAAACGAAGAGAATGAGGGAATCGAACAAGCACACCGTTTACCGCGGTGTCCGAATGAGGAACTGGGGCAAATGGGTGTCCGAAATCCGGGAACCACGTAAAAAGTCCCGCATTTGGCTCGGCACATTCCCTACGCCGGAAATGGCGGCTCGTGCACACGACGTGGCCGCTTTAAGCATCAAGGGCAACTCGGCTATACTTAACTTCCCCGAACTCGTGGACGAGTTACCTCGGCCTGTGTCTTTAGCGCCACGCGACGTCCAAGCCGCCGCCGCCAAAGCTGCTCAAATGAACAAATTCGATTCCCAATCACCGTCTTCCACTTCCATATCCACTTCGGCACTGTCATCTTCGTCCTCGGTATCGTCTCTGGTTTCTCAGGTGGACTTGTCTTCAGGGTCAGACGAGTTAAGCGAGATAGTCGAGCTGCCTAGCCTCGGGACGAGTTACGACGGGACGAAGAAAGAGTTCGTTTTCATGGACTTGGTGGACTGCTGGCTTTACCCTCCGCCATGGCTGCAAAACATGGAAGACTGTGGGTATGTTTGTGATCAATTACTACCGCCGGAAAGCATTTTACAAAAATGGTTTGAAGAATCTTAATTTGCTATGGGATTATTAGTGTTTTTGGTTGTGATTTGTGACTGCGAGTGTGAATGTTTTTTTTTCTTCTGGTTTTAAGCCTTTTTCTTTTTCATCGAAGGGCTAAACCTTTCTCTCTTTTTTCCTCCATGGATCCATCACTGTACAGTGTTTAGAACGGGAAGATGAAGATGAAAACGTCATAAATTCTTCTCTTTGCTTGTTGCAAAACACAAGTTCGAAATCCAACACTGGGAATTCTATCCTTCTTTCATGGTATCTGTCTACCTGTTCTCTATTTCATGCACAAACAAAACTTAAGCACAAAATTTCACTTAAAGAAGATCTGCAACTGGGAAAAATGGAAAACTCCTGTTCATCTTCTTCATGTGATGATGAACGGTGGTGAAGAATGAAGATTGCTTCGGGCAGATGGTGAAATACAGTGGGCAGAGAAAATAACAATTTTCCCCATTAAGAGTAACAATATCTATCTACCCTTTTTCAACTTTCTATAAATAATACTCTCCATACCCAGAACTTACCCCCATCTTCTTCATCTCGCTTTCACCATTAATGACATACTAAAAACAATATATGTCACCGATCATACTTCAGTTTAACGGTAAGGTTAAAGTTCTTAGCGTAATGATTTCCGAATCACGGTAAAGAACAGTAATAATTATTAACCAAACTCTGCAAGTGGATGAAGGCATATATTCTTGCTGCAGCAAAGGGGAAAGCTTGAATGTCTATTTCATCCTAGTCAAATCCGAGTTCAGCTCTCGTTGATTTTGCAATATATAGAAGAAAACATCTGAAATCAAGCTACTGTTTTGATGCGATAAAATACATTAATATAACCCATTTTCTGCGTGCTCGTTTCTGTTATCGTAAAGGCTCTTTCCTAAAGGGAAAAGCATGCACAGTCGGTGGATATTGTCAATATTCATCTTGGTTAATCTAGATCGACTCGAGTCGTATATCAGATTTTTGTGGGTGAATCTCTCAACAATAATTTTCTAAAACTTGAACTTGAGACATGTTTAAACGATATCAAAATGCTTACCACTTAAATCAACCTCGTAAGTAGTTCTCTTACTATACTTGTACTATAGAAAGGAGTCTAAAATACAGTCTGTTAATATAAGCTAAAAATATTTGTAATCAACTGTAATTGAAAAACTTATCAAGTGAATAACTCTTTAGACTAAACTGAACAACAGTTGAAACCGAAAATATTGTGCTTTCTATAACAAATCGTGTAAATTACATAATTATTTTACTTACAACCTAAAAGGTTATCATCATAAAACATGTAATATTTTCGGTTGTAACTAAAGTTCAACTATTGTACAATGTGATAGTTAAAATTGCAACCGAGAATGTTATGGTGAGAACCTTACTTCAAATATTTCCTCCACAATGTAATTACCTAATCTCTTAATGTCCCATATTTATTAGTATGGAATTAATATTGTACATCAGGCAAAGATGTTTTCTATGAATATCGAGCCGATTTGTTGGAATGCACAAATATTGTTACAAATTGGGAAAAAATATTTTTTTATCATATTTATTATGATTATGTCAATATACACTGGCATTTTTAATAAAAATAAAGAAACACGTGTATTAAACAAATAAATAAAGTATCATTAGTTAGTTGACTAATATAGCAAAATTAGTTCTAGGAATAATAATGCAATATTTTGCACGTCAGTATGAAAAGGTAAGGCTTTAGATTAAAGACAAAACACACTTTATCAATGGTATATTTTGTACGTTATTTTCGAGCCTCTAACTCGTATATATATATTGTACGTATATATATCTCTATGTTCACAAATTAAAAAAAGGGGTAAATTACACCAATTATCATCACTTAACTTTATTATTTCTCTTATTTCATTCATTTTATTTTAAATTTATTTAATTTTCTCACTAAATTTAATACAATTAGTATTTTTGGTCACTCAGTTGTAAAATATTTAACGGCGTTAAAACACTGTCGCTTTAAAAAAATAAAATTTTCGCTAAAACGACATTATTTTGCATCTATATAACATCTCATTTATAACGTCGTTTAGTAAGAAAAATAACCAAAAATGCTAACTGTATTAGATTCAGTGAGAAAATTAAATAGATTTAAAGCACATTGAGTGAAATGAAAAAGAGAGTAAAGTTCAGTGGTGATTTTTGTAATTTACCCTTAAAACCCCCAAAACCCACCCATGTTCATGGCAAGTTTTGTTCATTTTCGTAGCAGACAGTTTCACTTTTCTAGACATTAAATAATTGAAAAAAATCAAAAAATAAAGTTTTTTTTCTTGTGAATTTGTTTTATCTCCGTATATATATAGATTGATAGTGAAGTTTTTAAATTTTATAAATATATTTTATTTTTCATATTTTTCAACTTGATCCCATCCTTTAAAAAATTCGATTCAAACTCAAAATTTAAAAAAGAAATGATATTATAAAGTATATATATATATATATATATATATATATATATATATATGTATGGATCCCTACACAAAATCCGAAATCAGACACCAAAATCTTGAAGCCCATCCCTCATCCTGTTATTTGATTTTTTTGGGACGCGTTTTCTCTCTGTGTTCAATATTTATTTGTACGAGAAATGATATCCTTTCTCGACCCCATTGTATAGCTGTGAAATTACGACCTTCTTCTTCTTCATCTACCACTGTCTTTATCACATTGGCCCCATTTTCTTTCTTCCCTTTATGGCTTTTGTCTTGTTATTTGATGTTTTTTGCTTTCAATCTCACTCACTCAACTGTTTCTTTAACTGTTTCTTTTAGGAAAAAAACGAGTTTGAGGTTTGTTTTACTCGTTGTTTATAGGCTTCAAGTAAAAACAAGTCCTTGAACTATGACATCCTTTTGTTTTAAGCCCCTAAACTATATCTTGGCCATGTACTTAAACTATTATATTTAAGGGTAAATTATGCGTTTAATATATAAACTATCAGTTTTGGTCTGTTTCAGTGGCTAAACTTTCAAATTTTTTCAAAAGCATACCTAAACTTTAGTTTTTGTTTCGTTTTAATACCCTGTTCAAAATTCAACATTAAGTTTTGAGAAAAAAAAGTTTAGGTACTAAAACGGACCAAAATTGATAGTTTAGGTACTATAAGCGTTAGGTTTTTAACGGCGGAGTACTAAAATGAAAAAAAAAATAAACATTAGGTATGATTATGAATTTTTTTTTTGAAAGTTTAGGTGCCAAAATTTATAGTTTATGTACTAAATGCGTTGCTTACCCTATATTTAATCGTTTTAAGTCTATCATTTTTTCAATTAAAAAAATATTTTTCGGTCAATAAGATATTGACACGACACACGAAATTATATATTTGTTTTGATAAAAAACAGTTTAGGGGCTTAAAGTAAAAAAGAGACATTGTCTAGGGACTTGTTTTTGACAAAAAATAGTTTAGCTACTTAAAGTGGTTACATATAATAGTTTAAGGACTTATTTTGACCAAACAATAGTTTAGGGGCTCAAAGCAAAAATGGAATGTAGTTTAGGATTTTTTTAGTTTAACCCTTATTTATAAGATATCGTATATAAGTATCGATATCTAATTTAATAATTAATTAAATTAGATTAAGTACATCAAATATTATTATGAGAGTGACTCTTTTAATTTAATAATTTGAAAGTTTAACCTCTAATTTTAATTAAAAGATCTAATATTTCATTTCGCTAGGTAAATTATTTTTAGAAAGGCATGATGAAAAACTACCTCAACGTTGCACAAATGGTCACTTTACTCCCTATCCTTTTTTGGAGTATTTTAGCCCATGACGTTTCATTTTGGAGTAAAATGTCCCCTGGTTGAATGAAAATTGTTGACAAACTATCAATGTATCATACGGGCGTGACAAGTTCACATGTAATGTCACTTTAGCAAAATAATTTTTAGAATAAATTATAGTTATAATTATTTACATACACTTATAAAAATATATTTAAAATATTTTTAATTACGTGACATCACTCATGGACTGCCACATCAATATGAAGCGTTAACCGTTAGTCAACGATTCTGTCCACCCAGTGTGTATCCAAAATAAAACGTCGAGGGTTTAGGTCCCAGCTGTTTTAATTTTCTTGTTTGGGTCAGTTAGCTTGCTTATAGGGGCTGAAACTTTCGATGCCTTATTCAGAACTTGAGGAGAAATTATGGTGTAGTAAATGGGAATATGTTGTTTTCAGAAAAACTTTGGCTTGATAGGATGTATGTACTCTTTTTCTCTATTTAGATTTAGGGAGGTTTTTAATAAAGCATGCATCTTTAGCGGATTTTCAATTTATCATTGTCGAGTAAAAAATGTTCTAAAAATAAGATAGGGACAAAGTGACCATTTGTGTAAACGTTGGAGGGTAATTTTGTTATTATCCCTTTTAGAAAACTCAATGCATGGGTGCTTCACTAAACAACAAATAGATCAACCCACCAACCATTTCACCCTATATATATGATGATTTCATTATGGTGGTAGCTAGCTAGATTCCTGCTGCCGGACATTTATTTTTCTTTTATTAAATAATTATAAAATGATAATTGGATAAAGGAAAATGATTAATTCAACAATCGAAATTTCATATCAACAAATAGTTGAACTAAGAGACTTAAGTAGTAAAGGAATTGTTGTTATTCCTTGATGTTTCAGGTTCGAGTACCATGAATTTCACGGATGTAAACGTTCAATATCAGATGGTTAAAAATTATCTTTGAACAGATACTATATTTTACTCATCCTGGATTAATAAAGAAAAACTTTATATCAATGAGACCATAATCCGAAAAATAAGATAAGGGTATGCTGAATTTCTTAATTAAAAGGGAAAAAATATGATAAAATAATGAAATTATAGGGTATGATTCCACCAAAGAAGCATAACTTAAACTATTATCATATGCATATACACACTTTTCTAATGATAATAATTATTGATCAGGATAGACTGATAGGGGCTTTGACTCAAATAATGCATGCATGATGTATTTACGTCCCTCGTTAACA